TACCTCTCATTGGCCAGTGTCTAATAACAGTCATTTCTCATGTTTTGTCTGGTTTTATAACTGGAAGGTGATTTTTTGTTTTTTGATACTGAGGATTGAACCCAGGGAGTTAACCACTGAGCCACATCCCCATCCCTATTTTGTATTTTATTTAGAGACAGGGTTTCACTGAGTTGCTTAATGCCTCACTTTTGCTGAGGCTGGCTTTGAACTGGTGATGCTCCTGCCTCAGCCTCCTGAGCTGCTTGGATTACAGGCGTGCGCCACAACACCCGGTATGAAGGGTGATTTTTTTTGACCCCTCTTTGAACTCCTATGTTACTTTAAGTAGATGTCTTTTATGTTATTTTAGGAACTCAGTTGTAGAGTGTCAGCTTCTAAGATTACTGTGATACATTGCATTTTGGTAGAAAAATTTCTCAACTAAAGTTGGTGCTATTCTGTTACTTCAGATTTCCTTGTAATAAAGTGAAGCAAAGAAGACTAAAATGAAATAGTTAAGAGATAGAAAGGAAAAATAGGAAGAATCCAAAGGGTTAAAATAAATAATTTTCATGTCATAATTAGACTCGAGACTTTCATTAAAAACGAAAACTGGAAACATTTGAATCAATATAGAAATAACAATATGTATTTTTCTATTTAATCCTGGAAATTGGCAGTTGGTATGGGTTTGACAAGCATGACCATTGTCTTTTGAATCCAGAAGTTAGTGTTTGATCACTCAGAATAGTCACATAATCAGAAGCCAGGGGGCAGCAGTCAGGAACACATGAATGAAGTACTAGAGATCTGAAAAGGACATGTTGATAAATTGGTCCACTGGCAAGAAAGAAAAGAATTCTGATAGATTGATGAGTATGATGACAAAACCGGGAGCTGGCAACACAAGAGAAAAAACAAAAACAAAAATTAAAATAAGAATTCTTCCTGAGGACTAAATAGTGCAGTGCAGACAACTGGTGTGTTGATCAAGGTTATAAACTAGATAAAACTAGTCTAAAATAAGCCAGTTGTGTCAAAAAATAGTCATGTGGTGTGATAATGGAGTGATAAGCTCAAAACAGATCAGGGTGACCGTCTATAGGGCTCTGTGAAGAGTCTGCTCAGCCATACACCTTTCAGTTCTTTAGAAAGGTCACCTGTAATCACCTGTAATTTGGTTGGTGAAGGACCAACCAAAGGTGCAGTTTCCCTCCATGGAGTCCCTGAAGTTGCTTGCTTTCTGTCCCACTTGGATTGTCTCAGGGGTTTCCAGCTTCTCGGTCCCAAGTCTTCATATTGGTCTGTGGGTTCCTCAGCCAAGACATCCTTGCTCTTCTCACACCTTCTTCCACCTGTCAGCTTCCATGCCCATGCCATCTCAGCCCTCTTTCCTTAGAAGAACCTCACAAGTTGTACCGGTGCTATTCCCTCTATGGCAGTGCTTTCCGCCAAATGTCCTAGTGATTGGAGAGATACCTTCTACCTCACATCTGCCTAGGTTAGATAAAATTCTTGTTCATGCAGAATCTTATCAACCTGGTGCCCAGTCGCCAGCTTTTGGTGCTTTTCTTTCTTTCTTTTTTTTTTTTTAAGTTGTAGATGGTCACAACTTTATTCTGTTTATTTATTTTTATGTTGTGCTGAGGATCGAACCCATTGCCTCTCATATGTGCAAGGCAAGTGCTCTGCCACTGAGTCACAATCCCAGTCCGGTGCATCATTTTCTTGATATTGTATGTCCTTTCTTTGTGACCATGTGTCGTCACTGGAGAACAATTGTGGGGACAGTGACTTGCCCTATCTACTTCTGCTGCCCTTTGGGCAGTTGACACAGGAGTGGTACAGGAGCTCATGATGCTTGTCATATGAGTTGTCTAGATATTTGTTTAAAAGGCTCAAACTGGTTTTATCTATCAGTTTGTGAGTATGGRATGTTATTTCCCTTAATTTTCAGTTATCATCTCTTCATTTTTGTGTAAATATTTGCTTTATATAATAATGTGAAGTTCTTTAAGTTACGTTATCTGGGTGAATTCACCTTTTTATCATTAAATAAAGCCATTGATGTTTACTATGAAAATTCATATTTATATTTATCCTTTCAAGTTATTTTCTATTAACTGTATATTTTTTCTTTCTCTTCTGCTTGCAGTAGGAATTGATTTAAAAATTTCCCTTGTTCTTTTTCATTTTTGTTTAAATCTAAATAGAACTACTTAATAATAATTATTTTCTCTTTGTTGCCACAAATAATAAAATCATTCTTAGAATGCATTGGCCCCGRTCATGCTTTCCTATCTTCCAAGTTTTGTAGTTTCTTAATTTAGTTCTATTTCCTTTCCCTCCACCTCACAGCAAGTTTGAAATGATACTATTTTTACTGTTTCAAATAACATAATTTCATGTTTCTTTATGGCTGAATGAAACTCCATTGCACATATATACCACATTTTCCTTATCCACTCATCAACTGATAGATAGCCAGGCTGGTTCCATAGTTTTTCTGTTGTGAGTTGTGCTGCTGTAAGCATGGATGTGCATGTATCACTGTAGTAATATGACTTTAATTCTTTAAGATAAATACCAAGGAGTGGCATAGCTAGGTCATATATGGTTGGTTCTATGCCGAGTATTTTGTGGAATCTCCATACCAATTTTCCATAGTGGTGGTACTAATGTACAGTCCATCAACAGTATAACAGTGATCCTTTTTCTCCACATCCTCTCTGGCATTTATTATTGCTTGTATTTTTGAGGGCTGCCATTCAGACTGAAGTGAGATGAGATCTTATATTGTCTTGATTTGCATTTTCCTAGTTGCTAAGGATGTTGAGTAGTCTTTCATATATTTGTTCGTTGCTTCTTTTGAGAATTATCTGTTTGGTTTATTTGTCCATTTATTTATTAGGTGGTTGTTATTTCCACCACCGCCACACCACCAGGGATTGAACCCAGGGGCACTTGACTACTGAGCCACATACCCAGCCATTTTTAAAATGTAAATTAATTAATGGTACCAGTGATTGAACCTAGGGGTGCTTAACACTAAATAAATATTTTATTTAGAGACAGAGTCTTGCTAAATTGCTCATGGTCTTGCTAAGTGGCATAGGCTGGCTTTGAACACGAGGTCCTTATGCCTCAGCCTCCTGAGTTGCTGGGATTACAGTTGTGCACCACTGTGCCCAGCTTTTATGTTTTATTTTGAGACTGAGTCTCACTAAATGCATAGGGCATCACTAAGTTGCTGAGGTTGGTCTCTAACTGGAATATTCCTGCTTCAGACTCCTGAATTGCTGGAATTATAGGCATGTGCCACCTGAGCAGCTTGGGTTAGTATTTTGTGTGTGTGTGTGTGTGTGTGTGTGTGTGTGTGTGTTCAGTTTTTTAAGTTCCTCATATGCTGTGGATATTGATCTTCTGTCAGAAGAATATCTAGCAAAGATGCTCTCCCATTCAGTAGATTCTTTGTTTATATTCATATTACTCCCCTCCCCTCTCTGTACTGGGACACTTTACCACTGAGCTACATCCCCAGCCCTTTTTTATGTTTTATTTTGAGACACAATCTTGCTAAGTCACTTAGGGCCTGATTAAGTTGCTGAGGCTGGCTTTAAATTTGCAGTCCTCCTATCTCAGCCTCTGGAGTTGCTGGGATTACTGGTGTGTGCCACTGCATCTGGCTCTCTTCACATTCTTAATTTTTTCCTTTGCTGCATAGAAACTTTTTAATTTGATGCCCTTCCATTTATTAACTCTTGGCATTATTTCCTGAAAAAAAATTTAATCTTTAGTTTTGGACAGTATCTATTAGAAATTTGATTCAGATAATTCTTTTTTACAACCCCCCCCCCCACACACACACACGTTTTGGAGATGACTTTTTGGCAACTTGCAATATTTCAACTAAAACTATTTGGACTTCCATCACTTTAACTTTTAACATATCTCCTTTATGATTAGATTGGTTACCTTCCTTTTTAAAATAAGATTTAAGTGGATTTCCTACTTAAACATAACTCTTTGATTTATTTTTTAATATAATTTATCTTTTATTCTTATCATTTTCCATTATTTTCAAATTCTGAGCTCATTTGTATTTTTTCTCTTGTTTAAAATTTTTTTCCAGTTGTAGATGGACACACTTTTATTTATTTGTTTATATGTGGTGCTGAAGATCGAACCCAGTGCCTCACATGTAATAGGCAAGTGCTCTAAACTGAGCTAAAACCCAGCCCACTTTTTTTTTCTCTTTAAGTAGTAAACTAATGTAAAAGCTGTGAAATTATCTGAATGTTGTTTTGTCAGTTTTCTAAATTTCTTATTTGTAATATCTTATTCTTTAAATTTCTCTTTTTTTCCTCATTTCTATCCCTTAAAATACTCCAAAATAACTTAAAGATATTAGTTGTTTAAATTTTTTTTTAATATTACATTGGGTTACAGAATCTACCTTACCACTGTTGTTACCTTTATTTTATTTCCATAAAGTGTTTTTAAGTTAAATTTCATAACACTTAAAAAGGTAATGCAATTAGATCATACTCAATTTTTGGAATTTTATTTTCTTTAGTCATTGTGCATCATGGTCTTTTATGTCAGCTTCAAACAAATACAAATGTCTGGGTGTTCCTCATTCACTTGATTAAATGTGTAGCTACAGCCTGATGTATCTACTCTGACCAGAACCTGTTAAGTTGTTGAAGCTACTCCTATAGACAAAGGGAGTCTCCAGAAGGTTATCTGGAAAGAGGAAAGGCCAGAATAGGGATACCTCCGCCAGTTTTAATAACATAGCACACTTACCTGGGTATGTCCTCACATCCAGCCATAAGGAAGGGCTGAGTTTAGGGGACAAAGTGACCGCAAAGTCTGGTATTTACTGTTTAACATGGTAAAATGCTGGAGAAATGTCCAAATTATTTTATAGACCTTTAAATTGTGATTTATATGGAGTATAACATATAATCCTTAAAATTCATCATTTCTTACTATATGTCTTTATTTCTTTCTAGGCCTCGAAGTAGAGGAAAAACTACGGTGGATGATGAAGATAGCATGGACGGGCTGGAGACAACAGAAGCAGAAAATATCGTGGAAACAGGTATCACAGTTTAAGAATGTACATGATAGTATGCACGTGTGCACCTGGCATATGTGTGGAAACGTGTTGTGTTAGCCGTGGTTGATGCACTGCACTTCAGTTCCATTTGTCCCAGTTAGTTTGCTAGCTAGTCACCATGTGGAAAACCCAGTCTACTCCCTCACACCTTTTCCTTGAGACCTGATTTAGTAGGAATTATTTTATATTTATTGATAACTGTTTTATCAAAGTAAAATTAAAACTGCTAGAAGCAGTAACTCAGGCCATTATTATGCTAGCTCACAGGATATTTCTTGCTTGTGAACCATTAAATATTTGTTTAGAGCTTGTTTTGTTAAAATGTATATAGAGAGAAAGTGTTTCACTAGTGAATGGTAGTATGAAATACCAAGTTGAACACATGGTTTCTGGTCTGCAGAACCTTTAGGTGTCCTAAGTTAGCTAACATGTATTGTGTACCTGCAAAATGTGGGTAGAGTAGGTTTCCCAGAGTGGTTTCCAGAATTTACAGGAGATTGGTGGTACGTGGTCAAAGGGACTAGGCTTCATATTGTATGTAGAGGATATCTGTGGTAGGTAGTCCGTCGTTAGTCTTGTTTTCTATAGTTGTTGGATAGAATTTGGATGTAGTATTAGGCTTCATCTCTGAAGTTGAATATCATCCTGATGCTTCTTGAATGTCTTTTGTTTTTATAGAAGAGTTTAAAATTGCATTATATTTTAAAATATAACTTTCTAGAAAATGCCTTATGGTTGTCAAATGTGTTATTCTATAGTTTTTTTTTTTTTAAATCTTTCAAATAGTGTATGCAGTTTTCATCCCTCTTCTGACTAGGGCCTAGGTAGGTAGAATGACAAAATAAAGCTTGAAAGTTCTGAGTTTTAAATTTACCCTTTTTGCTCATTATCACACTACTGAAAACTTGAATTTATGTAAATAGCATTCGTTCTTTTTTCATATATTTTTTTCTGTAGTTCACTGTTAGTAATGAAGAGTCCTTTCGAAGCTTTAAATAATATTTTCATTATGATTACTGGCAAATTAAAACAGTGCTACCAGAGTGTGTTGCGCTTATCCACATTCTTGCTGGCTCTCTCACTCACTAGCAGAAGGTTAGCACCTGCCTTTCTGTTTTACTCTTCTGTGCTTCTCTGGTTGTCATTTTTGATAATCTGTTCAATACCCCATCCTTTCAGCTTCCTGATTTCCTCAGAAATCCTGTTCTTCATTCCCCTTCAGCTGCTCATTCTTATGGTCATATATTAGCTTTCTTATTGTACCAGCCACTGAGACAATTGCTATTTCATTTCCAAAATCAGCTCTGCTGTCCTACTCCCTGGCTGCTTCTTTTTCCAGGTCGCTTTTCTCCTAATGCCTCATTGGTCTTACCAGTGGGCTTGTTGCTCTCCTTTCTGGCCGGATTCTGTGACTCATCATTGTGGTCATTCTCTTCTAGCAGCCCAGATTGTGCATTCTAGTAGCTGAACATAGCTGTAGAGAAAGGCATAATCTTGCCAACTGATTTCATTTTAAATTTGTGACCTCAAATCAAAGTAGTGATGACTGGTGCCTTCCTTTCATTCTGTATACTTAAAAATTTCCTCTCCCATTTATTGAAAATTATTATTTCACCACCATTTCTTTTCAGATTTCTAATACTTCCTCCCAGTTTTCAATCTTTAGCTGATGATCTTGCTTATTTTAGTGGAATTTTTTTTTTTTTTATACTCACCCATCAAATATGCTTTCCTACTTGAATTTTTTTTGTCCATCTGGTAAAATGGAATGAAAAGTCTCTGTGGTTGTTTGAAGCTAAGTCCTTTACTTGTGTCCTGAATTCTATCTCCTTTCACCTTTTGTGGATTTTGGGTCTGCAGTTTTCTTTGCTTTCCTATGTCAGGGGTTTTTACAACTCAAACAATCATTTCTTAGCTGCAGAATGTGTTGCAGAATCATCCCTCTCAAACACATCAATCTCTATGGATCACTCATCCCCTCTTAGCTACTGTACATGAGGTTCTTTACTCATCTTTATAGCAGAAGTCCTTGGCAGATGTCTTTATGAAACCCTTGAAAAAGTTGTCATATGGTGGCTACTGTTTTTTTGGTGATATTGGGGATTGAACCCAGGGATACTTTACTACCGAGCTATATCCCCCAGCCCTTTTTAGTTTTTGTTTTGAGGCAGGGTTTCACTAAGTTGCCTAGGCTGGCCTTGAACTTGTGACCCTTCTGCCTCAGCCTCCTGAGTTGCTGTAATTACAGGTGTGTATCATTGCACCCGCTGGTTGCTACTTTTTTGGGGGGGCGGGAGGGAGACCAGGGATTGAACTCAGTGACACTTGACCACTGAGCCACATCCCTAGCCCTATTTTGTACTTTATTTAGAGACAGGGTTTTACTGTGAGTTGCTTAGCACCTTGCTTTTGCTGAGGCTGGCTTTGAATTTGTAATCCTCCTGCCCCAGCTTCTTGAGCCACTGGGATTATAGACGTGCACCACCATGCCCAGCTGCCACTTATTTTTGACTATTTTCTCATGAACTCACTCAGATGAGGCTCTCTTCCTTTTTTTCTGCGAAAATGTTCTTGTCAAGTCACCAGTAATCTCATATTGCCCAAATCAGCTTTTAGTCTTCATCCTTCTTAACCATTCATTGTCTTCTCACACAGCTAACCACTCTTGGGAGTGAAACTTATACTTCGCTTACAGGACTGCAGATCTCTCTCTTTTTTTTTAAACTCAGTGATTTCTCTTCATTCTGTTCTCATTTTGTGCATCAAGTGGTCTTTCTCAGTTTCATGGCTTTAAATATTACCTATGTGCTGATGACTCTAAAAATCACAGTAGTGACTTTTAAGAAATTATTTTTAACTGATAATAAAAACATAAAAGTTGACATATTAGTGGAGACCACTACCAGTTTTTTTTTTCTTRCCTTTAACATGAACTGTTATCTTCAGCTTGTTTGTTAGCACCTCTTCTTAGATGTTTGAAGAGGATCTAAACTGAATGTGTGACCTTTATAGAGCTGCTTTTTGGGGGATGTATTGAGGATGGAACTCAGGGGCACTCAACCACTAAGTCACCACCAACCCTGTTTTATATTTTATTGAGAGACAGGGTCTCACTGAATTGCTTAGCTGCTTATTGTTAACTCTGAAACCTCTTCCCGTGTTTCTACGTGAGCCATGCTACCATATATGGTTCAGACTGAAACATGGAGTGTTTTTTTAAAATATATATTTTTTAGTTGTAGATGGACACATACCTTTATTTCTTTATTTTTATGTGGTGCTGAGGATCAAACCCAGTGCCTCACAAATACTAAGCAAGTACTTTACTATTAAGCTACAACCCCAGCTCTGGAGTCTCTTTTTGGGAGTGTAGGTATGAAGGACTGAACCCAGGAGCACTTAGCCACATCCTCAGCCCTTTTTAAAAATTTTGAGTCATGGTCTCGCTAAGTTATGCTGGGGGTGGCTTTGAACTTGGAATCCTCCTACCTCAGCCTCCTGGAACCACAGGAATTACAGGTATGTGCCACCCTGACTGGCTATCTTTATTTTTTTGTGGTGCTGGGGTTTGAACCCAGGGCCTTGTGCATGCGAGGCAAGCACTCTACCAACTGAGCTATATCCTCAGCCCTATTTTTATTTTTTAATTAATTAATTAATTAATTAGTGACAGGGTCTCACCAAGACTTTGGCTGGAGTCTTCCTTGATTTATCTTCCTGGGACTTTTTTGGTCTTCGCCTTCTTGGTGTTTCTTGAGCTCAGATACTTCCTTCTCCTCCTCTGCCTGTCATTGCACAGCTGGTCACCACCACCCTTGCTCCTCTGGACTGCTGCAGTGGACTCCACATAGTGTCTTCATTGGCCTTGCTACTTTTCCTCTCACTCCATTCTTGTCTGTTTTCCATAAGAGCCTTTTACTTCATCTGCCTACCATCCAAAGCCTCCAGGAGTAATTAGAACACAATCTAAAGTCTGCACCATGAACTTCAAGCTCTTCTGTCCTGACCTGGGCTACCTTTCCCACACCATCTTCTGTTTCCTTTGCTCCCTGGGCTTTAGCCTTGTGACCTTCTTTTCCTTCCTGGAGTTTGGCATGCTTCTTTCCAAGGCATTTGTGTATTTTGTTTTCTTGGAATACCCCCCACCCCCCATCTTATTTCTTTACTTATAGTCAGTTTTCTGCTCAGGTGTTGTGTTTCCAGAGAGATCTTTTCTTACCAACTTGTCTAAAAAGCAGCACTAAGCTGGGCATGGTGGTACATACCTGTAATTCCAGTGACTTTGGTGGCTGAAGCAGGAGGATCTCAAGTTTGAAGCCAGTCCTAGCAACTTAGTGAGTCTCTTCTTTTGAAGAATAAAGCACTCAGTGGTAGAGCATCCCTGGGTCCAGTCTTCAGCATCCCCCATTAAARTGATGAGGACAAAACCCCCAGTACTTGCTACTCTCTGATCTCTTCTGCTATACTTCTGTTCCTGGTATTTAAGAAATATGATATCATGTTCCACGTTTATTTATTCTGTGCCTTGCACAGTGTATGAGTGCTGTGAGGTTAGTACTTCCAGGCACACAGTAGGCCTTCACTTTACTAACTGGAGCAATATCATCTTCTTAGGCTTTTGCATTTTCTAAGCTACCTACTGTTTTGGAACGTTGTCACAAAAGTAAATTTTTGACATTTGATTTTTTTCTTAAGAGTAGAATAGCAGGCCCCACAAATGAGTTGTTTCCTTATTTTGTCTCCATGTGGGGTCAAGACCTGCTTTCTATAGAGAAAGGAGCAGGAGGGTACTTTTTTTTTTTTTTAAATCCTCGTCTTTTATACTGAAGTTAAGCCAGGGTCTGTGTATTAGTGTATTAGCTCTGTGTCTGTCAGTGGAAAGGCCTTCATTTAGTTCTTTTAGTGGACATACAGGTCAAGGAGAATAGGAAAGGAGGGTGGGAAGAACAGCCATTAAACCAACAGCTTATAAGTGAACCCAG